TCCCTCCTCCCTTCCCTCCTCCTTCCCTCCCTCCTCCCTCCCTTCCTCTCCTATTGTTTTGTTTATTGGCCACAGGACCCACAGCCCTGACCAGCCTCAAACTTTGCAGTCCTCTTGGGCTGAGCCCTCTGAACGTGTGAGCCAAAATAAATCCTTCCCCTCCCCTTCCCACCAAAGTTGTTTGCTCAGCTGTCTTGTTACAGGGGCCAAAAAAAAAAAAAGAAGAAGAAGTAAGGAGCTGGCAGATGACTTAGCAAGGAAAGGCGCTTGCTGCCAAGGCTGAGACCTCAGTTTGATTGCCAGGACCCTGATGGTGGAAAGAGAGAACTGACGTTCCCATGTGTCCTCTGACTTCTACATGAATGCTTCCCGTTCACACACATACACACATTAAATAAAAAAATTAAATAACTATCATGTTTTCCATTGTTACTCTGTAGGGTTAAATATAACACACACACACACACACACACACACACACACACAGGGAGGCAGATATGAGACCTTTGTCAAGATCTATGTGCCCCCAGAATCTTCTGGCCTCTGGTTTTTTCACATTCTTGGTGGTGTCTTTTGGTGGGCAGACATTAAAAAAAAAAAAAAAAAAAAGAACATTCTTTCCATTTTATTTTGTTTGTGCATTAGTGTTTTGTCTATGTGTGAGGGTATCAGATCCCCTGGAACTGGAGTTACAGGCAATTGTGAGTTGCCATGTGGGTGCTGGGAATTGAACCCTGGTCTTTTGGAAGAGCAGCCAGTGCTCTTAACTGCTGAGCCATCTCTCCAGCCAGGGCAGACATTTTTAATCACAATGAAGTCCCCTTTTGCCCTGGCTAGTCCATCTTCAATGCCATGCTTGAGGGTGAAGAGTTCTGTACCTACTTTTTAAATGTCCCCAAATCCATCTCTCCTCCCCTCCAACTTTGCCTGTGCCCAGCTGCTTCTGCAAGTGCCCCCTTTCCCTCCCACCCTCCTCCCAGCTGTGGCCCATCTGAGAATCATTCTCCCCATGGTCCTCATGACCCCACTGCCCATGAACAACCCTGTCTCCTCCAGGCGACTCACAGACGCTAGGTGCTCAATAAAACCCCATCAATGAAGGCAATGCCCTGTGGTCCAGATGCGGGGCATTAAAACTGTCCATTACTTCTAAACACTAGCTCATCAGGAACAGCTGAGCTTCAGAACCAGGGAACCAAAAGTTTTGGAAAAACTAGCCAGGAGGGGAGGGTTTGCTGTCTCCCCAACCAGAACACTAACCACGCAAACATCACCCAGATGTACATCTCTGTGTTATTTATTCCCGCTTCAGCTCCAGACTCCGAGGGTGATGGAGACTGCTTCCCCTGCCCATGCTGGTAACAGGAAGGAGCCTTGCACGGGTGCCCCGAGGCAGCCAGTCCCGGCCGACTCCAGGTGTAGAGGGAGCACATCTTCTAGTCCTTCTCCTCGCCGTGTGTGATGACGTAGCACAGATTCCTGTAGTCTAAGTTGCCACAGACATCTGGCGGGAAAGCTGCAAACATCTGCTTGACCTGGGAGAGGGAGCAGAGGGTCAGGTGACATGGAGGCTGAAGGAAGAGAGAGGAGTCAGGGCAGGGCATCTGTGGGAATGTCCCCCCAAAGCGCACACTTACCTCCTCCTCACTGAACCGGTCAGCCTGAGTCATAAGTTTTTCCTTAATGCTGTTGGTGGAGAGAAGCCATCATGTCTTGGGAAAGAGGTGCCTGGTGGCCATGTGGACACAAGGTTCCTGGGGGAGCTCTAGCCTAGGGGTCCCCAGCCTAGGGCTGATTCTCCCAGGCCCCAGGCATCTCTTTGAGTCCTAACTGCTTTTCTTGCAGCCTGTACTCTTCGGGCAGCCGTGGGAGACAGAATGGAATGATCTTGAGACTCCAACACGACCCCGAGGCCACTGAGATGCCCAGGGTGTGCTAACAGTCAACCTTAGATTGCTGAGGGGTGGGGGGGGCTCCTTTGTCTTTTGTCTAGGAGTGGAACCCAGGGCCTGGGTCATGGAAGGCGAATGCACTAGTGCCTCTCACTGGGGGATTCTAGGCAGGGGCTCTACCACTGAGCCACACCCCAGCCCCTCATTGGAGGATTCTAGGCAGGGGCTCTACCACTGAGCCACACCCCAGCCCCTCACTGGGGGATTCTAGGCAGGTGCTCTACCACTGAGCCACACCCCGGCCCCTCACTGGGGGATTCTAGGCAGGG